CGATCTACTGAAGGAAGAAGAAACTATTATGGAGGACAACTGGAAAGGTATCAATGAAGCATTAACTTCAACGTGTCAGGATGTTCTGGGTCACATGAAGCATCATCGTAGAGAATGGATCTCCACAGAAACACTGAACAAGATCAAAGAAAGGAAGAACAAGAAGACAGCAATTAGCAAAGAACACCTCATCAAGATTCCAAAGAAACGAGATCTGAGCAAATGTGAAAACTACAGAGGCATTACACTACTGTCAATACCAGGGAAAGTCTTCAACAGAGTGTTGCTGAACCAGATGAAAGATGCAGTAGACGCCCAACTTCGAGATCAACAGGCTAGATTCCGTAAGGATCGGTCGTGCACAGACCAAATTGCGACACTACGGATCATCCTCGAACAATCAATTGAGTGGAACTCGTCACTGTACATCAACTTCATTGATTATGAAAAAGCATTTGACAGTGTTGATGGGAGAATATTATGGAAACTTCTTCAACACTACGGAGTTCCTGAGAAGATTGTTAACATTATCTGGAACTCATATGACGGACTACAGTGCAAAGTAGTGCATGGAGGAAAGCTGACAGATGCATTGCAAATAAGGACCGGAGTCAGACAAGGCTGTCTACTCTTATCCTTCCTTTCTTCTGGTGGTCGACTGGATTATGAAGACCTCGACATCTGAGGGAAAACACGGAATACAATGGACAGCTCAGAATCAATTAGACGATTTGGACTTCACAGATGATGTAGCCCTCCTACTCCAAAGACACAAACAAATGCAGATAAAGACAGCCAGTGTAGCAGCAGTCTCTGCATCAGTAGGCCTCAGCATACACAAAGGGAAAACCAAGGTCCTCAAATTCAAAACGAAGAACAGCAGTCCAATCACTCTTTATGGCAAAACTCTGGAAGATGTAGAATCCTTCATATACCTGAGAAGCATCATCGATGAACAAGGAGGTTCAGATGCAGACGTAAAGGCAAGGATTGGCAAAGCAAGGAACGCATTCCTAAAATTGAAGAACACATGGAACTAAAAACAACTTCCAACCAATATCAAAGTGAGAATCTTCAATACGAATGTCAAGGCAGTTCTACTGTACAGAGCTGAAACTTGGAGAACTACAACAACCACCATCAAGAAGGTACAAGTATTTATAATCAGTTGTCTACGCAATAGACTCAACATCCATTGGCCGGATACCATCAGCAACAGCCTTCTCTGGGAGAGAACAAACCAGCTTCCAGCTGAAGAGGAAATTAGGAAAAGACATTCGAAATGGATAGGACATACATTACGCAAACCATTAAACTGCATAACGCGGCAAACCCTAACTTGGAATCTTGGAGAGAAGCGGAAACGAGGAAGGCTAACTAACCTTATGAAGAGCACCTCCAATCACTAACCCTTTACAAATTAGCGTATAGGAGTCTTAGAGGTGACCTTCTAATGGCTTACAGTATCCTTAACACCTCTGGACATCCACTTAAACACCTACGTAATTTTACCTCCAACACAAACAAAAGGGGTAACACTCCGAAACTAGAGATACAACACAGAAGGACGGACTGTAGACACAACCTCTACTCCTTAAGAGTTGTCAAATGCTGGCTGGCTATTGCAGGGGATGTTGAGCACGGCGTTCCCACTCGTGATCTGGTCTGGATGCATGACCGAGCGCCTTCAGATAGGTGAGTCCATTAAAACTAATGTGGTCAGCATCCAATGTCGGAAACTTACAGAGCTATTTATTTTGGGGATTTATTTACCGCTACACTAGCTTTAACTGGCTAGCACGAATGTTCTTTATCCATTAGATGATGGGCAAAGATCTGTCACCAGCGAATGAAACCGACGGAAATAAATCAGAATTAAAAGACGAATGTGGTAAACAAGCACACCTTACCCACTCTGGACTATTCATGCTCAAATTGGAATCCCTTCTTCGGAGTGACCATTTTAAGGCTTCTGAGGACTTGAGAGAATACAATTATTTTCGATACCATTCTCCAAGATGGTTTATTCTTTGTGCATGACAACTTCTAAGATCAACTTCCCAACTAGTTTTGTCTGAAATACTAGCTCTTTTTGTTTTCTGTAGACTATGTGAAATCAATCCCAGAAAGCAGGACAGGCTCCGTCTAGGTTCTGAAAGAACTGATTACTCCATAATTTGCAGTTATATCTTTTACAAACCAATAGTAATTGCGATTTCCTGCCGTAAGACTAAATTTGGTGCGTTGGGATGGGCTATGTTCACTAAAAGACGTGTAAATCAGTGGGCTAACTGAATTTTAAAACGCTGTTGAGAAATAGATCGTAATTAAAACCGCATATATTATCTGACATAGAAGTACAAGAAGGTATTTCAATCTCTTGTTACATAGGATATTTAAAATTCACGCAAGACTTTTTATTGACTCTGATGAGTTCATTTTTACGCTACACTTTTGCCATGTATTAAATCATGAAATGATCGTACAATTATATATAAACACAATTATCAGTTTATATAATTAAAAAATACCTTCTAAGAATTCGAACTTAAGTTCACTGGTGAGTGAACTAGATAAAAATCTCTATCACGCATGAGGCGCTTTTTATCTTTCTTCTTTGCGACGAATTACACCTAATTAGTTTGCTACCAGTTGTGCAAATATCCTCAACAAATTTTTTATAAGTCTGTGATTGTAAAAATATCTGGTGATAAGCCGTATAGAAGTTATTACTTAACAATCTTAAGACTGATTGGGGAAGGTCGAAGTACGTCCAACTTAGGATACAGCAAAAAAGATAAGTACTTAATGAATCATCATCAGTTCCTGAGATAGTGTTCTTATAATGACACGACCCGAAAACATAATCTGGTACAAACTTTAGTGTTTTATCTACCGCATTTTACATAACTTGAATCAATCTACATAATAGATGAAGGGCATCAATACCAGTGACTATACAAACTAAAATACATTACTCGTTACTTCTTATTCTTCTTCTTCCTCCTTTGATATTTCCACTAATGTGATGTCATATCTTAACTGGTGTTCTATCATGCGTAATCCATAAAAAAATTAATTTTCGTTGAACAACCTTTATTCTGCACGCGCAAAGAGAGAAGAATGTTGCAAGTGGTTGATGTTAGTGTTACAGGTAATTGGAAAAATCTCCTCATATTCTCATAAACTATTATCAGTAAAATCGCTTAGAACTCTTGGGCTGGGTTCAGTGATTTGTTGTTTTCGCACATCATGAATCCAGGTAACTTACAAAGACGTATCGAACTTCAGGAGTTTAGGGGATGTAATAAATGAAAGAAAAGCCTGGTGAAATAAATAATATTAGTATCTGTGATTAAAGAGTTAGGAACTTCTAAACCTATTGAAAACATATTCTGGAAGTCTCAAATGGACTAGTAATTGAAAGCAGTTAAAAACGGCGAACACATGTAAATGAGCTGTATGAATATGAGTAAAGTAGATAAATGCATGGGAAGAATTTACCGAATAATACAGGCCTTACAATTAGAAAAGTCATCAATTCACCAACCCTAACTGAACTAAAATACCAACCAAAAAAACCCAGAAATTCTCATTGAGAACAGCCCATTCTAAGCTAATGAGTTTTAAATTACCACGGAAATACTCAGTCACACCCCCTAGAAACTGTAATTCAGGAAATCGGAGACCATTACGTAGCGTGTAAATTGATGGCAACTAATAAACTATGTGAGTTTCATAGTGGTAATTTTATTGTTATCCCCTATTCTATGATTGATCAAGTACCACAAGTAACTGTATTACATGGGACTATAAACCATGATATTAAAAAGATCTGGGGGGAACAGGTCAGTGAAGAGTTCTCGCTTTATATATATATATATATATATATATATATATATATATATATATATATATATATATATATATATATATATATATATATATATATATATATATATATATATATATATATATATATATATATATAAGGCAATCTTTAAACGGACTTGATTCTGTCATATTGGTTCCTGGCCACAACTGAACAGAATACCATATACGAAGTCAATGATCATTAATGAAATAAGTATAGGGGACTTACAACATTGTCTTCAACGTTTTTTAATAGAACTCTTTATTTTTAATTTATTTAAAATATGTAATAATAAAAAATATTTAAGTAGTATATAAAGATGTAAAAATATAAAACAAATTTGTAAACTGATCAAAATATACCTAAAAAAATTATTCCTTTAAGAAAAAAAGTCGATTATCTGAAATGAGATAAAAGTTAAATAAAAGAAAGAAATCAAACATACATAAACGATATGTATAAATAAATTTGTTGATTATATGTATGGATTTATATGTAGATTTGTTTCTTTTCTTTAACATGATTATTAATTTATGTCCGTAAACTTTAGTTATTTGGGTTTTATAAAACAGTTAGAATATAAGGATTTAAAAAAAAACAATGTAAAGATATGAAGATCTTCCATGTGTGAAATATTATCTTCTTTAAGATGGAAAAAATAGGCTTTCATACTTCAAACAAATTTTATACGATGAAAAGATTGTATAAAGAAAAAAGATTAGTCAATAAGAAGATGCTCTCAACTTGGATTACTGTCGTTTAATCCCAAATTCAAATAATAATAATAGGGAAAAATTATTTCTTTAAGATGTACTCTGTTCAGATAGATATTTGAAGGAAGTTTTGGTGTGTTTAATTGTTTTTTGAAAAAAAAAGGAATGGTTCAACATATTTTATAAAAACGAAAAAAGAAATGTATAGATGATGCTCTCATTTTAATTTTCCTACGTCTCATATCTTGTGAATTTATCCGGTAGTTAAAATTGAAATTAACTTGTAAAATAATACTGAGTACTAGAATCTGTAATGAAATCCAAATGAATTCCAAGAAACTATATATATATAAGTCTACAGGAAAATATGAATTCGTCGCTTTTGTTACAATAGCTGTTCATACATATTCTGTTCATATCTCTTTACGTTTCAACAAAGCTTCTGGGTCAGGCAGATTACAACGAAGAACAGTGAAAGTTGTTTGATTGACACATTGCCGTAAGAGAGCTAGAGCACTGGAAATGAATAAATGTTGATGAAAAACGTTAATGCATCAGTAACGCTACAAACTATACAAAAAATGTATGCTAATGTCTAGATATTTCTATTTGATTAATGTTTTCTAGCTAATCCATATGTTATAAATTTCACAAAAGTTAATAGAAATAAGCAGACCATTGATTACTCAATATATTCCATACCTAAACCTTGTCGAAAATTTCTTTCTGTATATAAACAGTAAAGATTCTTATCTGAATACATTTGAATACATTTGAATTCCCTTATGAGAGATTACAATCTAATTGTGATGCAGCCAAATGGTCAACAATTTTGTCGAGAATAGTCTAGAGCATAATTCTCACTTTTCTCCTTCACAATCGACGTTAGTTATAAGTTCACTATTTGTTTGAATACAATAACAACATAAAACTAACAATTCGAAAAAAAAATTAGTTCATTTCGATGATAAATTGATTTTACTAAGAAAACCAACCAATAATATCAATAATAGAACACATCTGAATATAAAGACTTTTTCTAAGACCTACTTATAACAGAATAAGAAAACTTCGTTAATAAATTTCCTTTGGAAACATTATCAACTCTTGACATTCATGTTGTTATTTAAAATGATATTATTTCTAAATAAGAATATCTGATAATGATTTTAATAAAACATTATTAACATCAATAATTGAATGGATGAATTATGTAACCTATTATTATAAAAAAGAAATCGAAATGCTGGTAAAATAATCTTGTATGGTGTCATTTACTTTTAATAAAGTTTTTGGTGATAATTATTCTTGTATTATTACAACATCAAGTTTATAGTTTAGTGAATTTTTCCATTTGTTGTCGAAGTATATTAATTTGATTACAATAAGGAACAAAATATATTTATAAGCAAAGATGGATACTGGCCAGTACTGGAATTCAGGACGCGCGATTCGTCCTTTTTGGGACTCGTCAGCTGGATGTACCTGCATCTCAGAGTTGATGTTCATCCTGAGACTCGAACCCGGTACCGTCCGATTCAAACGCCTTCGCTTTATCCACTTAGCTACTGAGTCCTGATAGCCACCTGCTTGTGTGATCGGGTGAAGTTATATTCACTTGGTGTTGTTTACTTATATCTTCCGATTGTTATTGAGCACTGCGACTGATTAGTCTCTTGTTGGCATATGTACATCCTATTCACCTTTGCTTATGAAGCTTGTGACTTCAGGCAATATCGAGGCAGTCCGCACAGGATGCACATATGCCAATAAGAGACTGATTGATTGCAGTCCTAAATAACAATGGGAAGATACAAGTAAACAATACCAAGTCAATACAAAATATATTTAGTCTATAAGGTATTAGTCTAAAGATATACACTTATAAAGTATTGATACGAAGAAGTATACAGATGAGCTGCAGCTCAAAAGTGAACTCTATAGGATTGCTTTGTTACACAAGATTTATAAGTTATAGAACAATAAATAAATTATTCTCATTTACAGAAAGATGTGTCAGTTTCATGGTTGAAATGATCTAGAACCATATTCTTTAAGTCTACATTTTAAAATCGAATGACTGATAAAGTAAAAGGCCTTATCTTTCAGTTATATGAAATAATAGTTTTGGTTGAATGAATAATTTTCGCCTAGAATAAAGAAGAGCGACAATGTTTTTCGCAACAAAAATATCTGTCAAAAACTCACTCTTTATACGTCATGCTTGTTAGATCACGTCCATTTATTGCTAAAATACGATCGCCTAGTCTAAATGTTCCATTCATTTCAGCCACACTGTTGGGAGCAACAGATTTGACGAATATACCTGGTTGATCAAGGCTAGTACGCTATTTAACAGATTGAAATAGGTCAGTTATTATAAACAAGAAAAACTTAAAAAAGTTATTTGAAGTTTGGCCATGATTACAACAAAATGCTTGAAATTAATGACAATTTCACTTTGACATTGAACGGCTGAAGACAGTAAGCCGAAAACTTTATTTTGTTCAATTATTCGATATAAATCGGACTTCGTAAGAGGTTTAACAGAATGTTTATTACCTATTCTAAGTATGAATCCTAAGCTAAATATACCTTATTGACTGACTCCAACAACTCAAAATTAATTTCTTATAACTACGGTGATGAGTTACTTTGCTAAGTAAGCATGTTTCAAAGACACTTAGCACTGGAACGTATTACTATTGGGCAATCCTCTAGTATATATTCATTCTAACATGAAGCTTGTTAAGATTTGAAAACATTTTTGTCTCAAATTGACCAATTAACAAAAATTCTTAACAATAATTAGTGAGGCCCGTTTTTAAGCTTACTGAAAAACTAAATGTTTCGACGTGCAACGCTTCTGTTTTCGAAATTGTTAAGTAATGATAGGAGCATAATGAATGATAAAAAATACATATTCCATTTGTAGTGTCTATTTAGTAGCTTAATATAAATGATATAGCTATAGTACAAGGTAAAAGGTACAAATTATTCAGTAGTATGATCTTTGGTGTTTGAAACGATTTTGCGAAGCCCCATATCTAATGATGAAACAATTTATTCTGGAAACATGAGATAATAAAACAACGAATAGATAGTAAACTCTAGTAACAAAGTTTCAATTATGGAGTGTAAACAAGCATTGTTTACAAGTAATTTACAAATTAATATCATATTGATCTTCATAGAACTCAAAACTGTTATGATAGGCTTATAATGAAGCATTATTTATGTGCATATTATATATATATATATATATATATATATATATATATATAGAGAGAGAGAGAGAGAGAGAGAGAGAGAGTTCATTTTAAATGTAAGTTATCATTCTCAACAATACTTAATATAAAAACAACTTATCGTGAAGTGTGTTGTTTACACCAAAAATAACTTACCTCACCGTCAACTAACACTAAACCGAAACCAGAGTTTGGTTCTTTATAAAGTGTTACATTTGAAACAGAATTTCCCAAACCACTACGTGTTAATACATCACTAAGTTCTCGTTCGGGATTGATATCCAGTAAATTAACAGAACTCATAGCATCAGAGTCTGTATCTCTGCCTCGATCTAATTCGCTAACTACTTCTGAAATATTATCTGCTGCCTCTTGAATAATCATATCTGGAATTTTAAACTGATTTATTGGCAAATTTGACATGCTACTGCTCACATTACGATTGGATATCAATCTTGGAGTAACTGATCTAGATCCTGCTTTTGAAGTTCTAATTTTGTCTAATCCTTGACCCAGTAACGACATTCGATATTGTTTCCAATCATTAGCCGTTTCATTTAATTGATCCATGTTTAGACGACTCAGTGAAGGAGCATTTGAAGGGGGTCTGAAACCATTATTAAAATCGCCTAGGCTTTGTGATAATCCATTTGGGACTTGAAGTCGAGGATCATGATACCAAGGAGATACTGGAATTTCTGTCCTGTTAGTCTCTAACATTTGATTTTGCCAATGAGGGCTGATAACCTTTCGATTAAACACTTGACTGTGGTAAACATTTTCTTGTGAATAGTCATTAACTTTACTTCCCATTTGAAGATTATTCGAATATTTCGACTCCGATGACAAAAAATCTTGATCACCATTAGCATTAGCAATCAAATCTATGCCACCAATTGAAGCAGCCAGTCCTTTGAGATAGTATAATGCTTTTTGCTTACTATCCATACTAGTATCTTGTGGGTTGTTCATTCCTGAAGACTGGAAATTTCGGGAAGATTAGTTCGTTAGTTTATAAAATTATATTATCATAATGACTGCGATATTGTTGTAATTCTATGATAAGACGTAAACCATTTTGTCAAAAACTTTAAAGGAACATATATGTATATATATCTATATAATTTAATTTGAAGTTAGTTTATATCGGAAAATAATATCCATTGTAGAATCATTTAATATCAGGAGACATTTAGCGAGTGTTTCTTCTAAGTCTAAAACTTCTGGTCAGTGTTCACACATGACCCTAATCCAGTGGTTCAACAGAAAACACTGAGTTCGATCATTAGTTTAACGATGAATTCAGGTTACTGATGTCAGTCTGTGGTGGAAATCAACTTTAAATCATAATACCTATTTTCCCTCTAATAGAACTTAAAATGTTTTAACAAAAAAACCGGAATTGATGCTTTTAAAATAAACTGAATATTGAATAGTTCATCTTCAAAAGAGATGATATATTTTTCCAAGTAGATGCCATATGAAAAAAGAGAATCCTCAGGATTCCGTGACCTTGTGAAAATAGATTATTTTTCACAGAATGATTAGTCTTTATAAGTTAGTGAATATTTATGGTTTAACTGACCATAGAATCAACAGTCAGTGCTTTTTTCTAACAAATGTTTCAGTATGAATAATTATAAGAGATAGAGATAATGAAATATATCATGGAGAATAAAACAAATAACAATTATGAAGTGAGACTATGTGTCATTTTCACATATGATAACGGTTGACCCTCCTTACTCCAACAACTGCCAACCAATATCAAAGTCAGAATCTTCAATACCAACGTCAAGACAGTTTTACTTTACAAAGCTGAAACGTAGAGAACTACCACAACCGTCATCAAGAAGGTACAAGTATTTATAAATAGTTATCTATGCAAGATACTCAATATCCGTTGGCCGAACAGCATCAGCAACAGCCTTCTGTGGAAGGGGACAAACTAGCTTCTAGCTGAAGAGGAGATTAGGAAAATATATTGGAAGTGGATAGGATGTACGTTGAGGAAATCACCAAACTGCATCACGAGGCAAACTCTAAATCTGAATCCTGAAGGGAAGCGGAAAAGAGAAAGGCTGAAGAACACACTACGTCGAGAAATGGAAGCAGATATGAAGAGGATGAATAGAAACTCGAAAAGATTGCCCAGGACAGGATTGAATGGAGAGTGATGGTGAGCGGCCTATGCTCCTCCAGAAGGGATAACAGGCGTAATTAAGTAACTCCCTCCTGCAAATATAAATGTTTTTCTTGTTATTATTTATAAATTATATAAATAACAGCACATATTAATACTCATGGTGCCTTTTAATTAACTGATGAAAGTGAATTATTGTTTTTTTTTTTAAATTTACTGTAAATGTACAACTGATAAATGTTCAACCTTATTTCAAGTGAATAAAATTATATCAAAGAAATGAGCCATTTTCTGGGACTTTTAACTTATTCAACTATTATTTTCCAGGGTGTTCAATAAAAGAAGAGACTTAACTTCGTTAGATTTCATTATTTGTACCACTTAAAAAAAATTCATTTTATGATGAGGTATTGCTTTTTAGCTAACTAATTAACTGAAAGAGTTGGGGCTTGGCATTTTGTTAAATTCTCTCTTGTATGTTGAACAAATGATAATATTGAGCCTAGTGAAATTACTTGACTAATATTAGTCATTATGTAAGAAAAATAGTATTACTTAATGTATTCAGTCAAACATTTGAATTTATGATTCAATCGATTTAAATGAAATCACTACCCAGGTATATCACCATATAATATAGACAAATCTAAAACAAAATTTTTTAACAATATTGAATTTACATGACTACCACCCCATACTGGTTCACCACTCGATGGTTTCGGTTTCATATCATTAGAAAATTTAGAAGTTTTATCAATTGGTTTCATTGAATTGTCAAATTGACTTGTTTGTGTCTTATTTGGCAAAGGCGAGAATTCTGAATTTTCTATAAGAGTAGTATTTTGATTCATCACTGAAGGTGATATACTCATTCTACCATTGTTAGATCGTATTGGTAATCGTTTACGATTTGCAATCGCTAATTTATTTCGTATTGTTGATCGATTAAATGGATGGTTATGATTTATATGGATCTGTGGCATAACCCTTGGTGGAGGAAATCCACGCATTAATTCTTGCCATCGAAAATAAATTACAGGTGATTGAATAGCTAAATCATTATAAAATGAATAATTATTTTTGTTATTACACATATTGACGAATAATGTTAATTTACTAATTTTTCAATGAAATAAAATATAAAAAAGAGGAAGTGAATTTAAGAAAAGAAAAGCAATAATTATTCATATTCAATTAAAAGTTATAGTATTATAAAACAGGACGACAAACTAATGTGGTAATCAAAATCTGTAATTTAAAATGTTAACTAGATGATTTCAAATGAAAATGTAGGTAATAAGATGTTGGTTAATTTGGTTTGAAGTGATCATATTTATTATAATCCATGAGGGCAAATTAATGTGGGATTGTGGGTGCAACACAAATCTAGAATGTCTCAAACTAGATCAAAATATAATCTATTCTGTTGGAGATCTTTATAGAAAATAGACAACTTTTATACATTTGTAGATCTACATTGGGTAGTATTTATATAATTACTTAGCGTGACTCTTCATTTATAACACCATGGTACCTAACCAACTGTACATTAAATGAATTAGGAGTACATGAGTATTTTGAAAAGATGAGTTTATTTAGTGTCCATGCCAAAGTTTTAAAGGTGTGGCTGAAAATACAAATATTTGATTATGGTTTCAGATTTCATTTGATGTCACCTTAAATTGGGAGGTAAGGGTTTTAGATTATAAAGCCAAAACTGTATTATTAATTAATATCAGCAGAATGAAACCTATTGAATGAGACTATAATTTATGGACGACTTTTGAGCAGTGCCAAAGTGGCCTTGAGAATGTCCACCTACTGACTAAGGATTAATGAAAATTTTAAGCCTGTGTGAAGAATAAGGATTTTGATTTACAGTTGATGGTTAGGGATAGGGATTAAATTTAGCGTTTTCATCACGAACTAACATAAGCTAAAATGCCAAGATGCTATACAGCCATATGGATAAAGAATTGCGCGCCGAAATCCAAGACCCGTTATCGTATATCTGATTGGTTTGTCCACCTATTTTTCAAGTCCCATTTCATTACTTGTGTTTCAATGTTCTCTTCTAAATCCTTAAATTGTTTCCACCCAATCATAACAAATGATGTGTTATTACTGTCTGATAAGGAAAAGAATATTAGTCTCGTTTTCAATGAATTATTTTATCTTAAAATTCCACTGAGGCATCAAGCATCTATATTTCAACCATTTAGTCACAGGTTAGATTCTCAACCTACTGACCTCGTTTGAACCTCTATTTGGAAAATATGGTTCAAATTTGAGTAAATAAATATTCAGTCTATTAGCCTGTTGTATTACATTACTCTACTTAGAGATTCTATGTGTCATGGTCTAAAAACGAACACAGTAATGCGATTGCATTCAATCTTTATATTACACTAAATTTTAAACATATTATGTTTTTTTTTATACTTCTTATTCTCTATTCCATTAGTTTCTTCTGAACTATACTTAAAAAGTTTGGTTTACTACAACCAGTGGTATAATTTGAATGAATAATTCGTTTTTCTCTTATAGTAATGATGAAGAGTCGTAACCTGAATCGATTTAAATTATTGTTAGGTTCTACTTTATTTATTACTGATCTTATTGAAATAATCTATTTTGCTGTTTTTAGTTTGTCTCTATTAATCAGTGTAATCTCGTTCGTTCAATTAAAGTTGTCATGTATTTAGCGTAAGCACACTATTCTGGCTTACCACATCTAAAATGAAATGGATTTTTCCCATGTATTCCTGTTATTTATTATAATTTATAGTAATGAATTTCCATACAACATGTAAAACTTATTATTGTGAGTAGTTACCTTTTTATCACCCTCATTTATTTCTTTATATTTGATATCATTATTACGTAGTTCTGTACAGGTTACTTTATTGTTGAGCAGTAAGAGATAATATGTAGTTGAAAATTACTCTTTCAACGCATTCTTAGTTATGATTCATGACTTCTAGATCAATTAACGGCTACAATATCATTTTATTACCATACTTTTAAATCGAAGGTTCATGTTAACATGAGAATCCTTAGTTGATAATCTGCCAACAGATGACCAAAAGCTAAAATTTAGTTTCACCAAAACCCAGTATCATGATTATGTCTAATTACCAATACATCTATTGTTTATAAAGCTGTAAAAAAACAGATCATCAGACCCATAGAAAAGTTTATACGAAATCTATGTGACTTTTTATAGTCCATCAAAAAATAGTCGAGACCAGCAAATGTGTGACCTAGAACGTATCTCCATCGTTTCAAGTTGCCTTAGAACATATCGGGATAGTATGACAAAATTCACAGAAAAAATTATAAGAGATTTTAAATATTGGTAGTATCAACAATAATATGGAAGAATACATCTAAAAATTAGGGAGTGAAATAAAGGAACTAAATGTACGGAATAATACTAAAACTCAAGATCTCTAAATGAAAAATGAATGAATGAATCTGAATTAGTGAAGTCAGTTTGACACTATGCCACATCAGGTCTCCAGCCACTGGTCACAAGTATCCTGTTAGCAACAGTGATTTACAGGATAATTTATTGACGAAATTTGGATGACGCTGAGAAAATTCGTTAACCTACTAGGTTCTAGAGAGGGTTATCAATTGTTGTGAGAAATCGGAATTAGAATTTAGAGTTAGAAGTTAGGATTATAAATTAGACTTAGGGTTTTCATCACCAACTAACATGATGTGTAATACCAAAACGCTATTTATTCATATGGATAATTAAATTTTTGACTAAAATTCAAGACTCGCTATCCTAAATCCAATTGGTTCGTCCATAAATTATGGTCTCGCCACCAACGCTTTGAAAAATGCTTGTAATTAAAACAGTAGTGACATTTACGACTACTCTTTTGATAAAATATTTCTTCATTAATAACTAAGAACTTTGATCGTAAGTGAAAAAAAGCATTCAGTGATCCCTGTGGACATACCAGATAATTTTCCATCTAATTGATTAATACAGGTCTGCATAGCACTCTGGATACACAAACCATACGGATCCACAGGTTTATAAATAGGTGATTGATTAGCATATGTTTTTCCTGGAAGTAACCGCTCTTTAGATCTCCATCCTTTTAATGCTATTTCGATTAAGTCAGTAGCTGAAAAGAAAATATGCCATGTGAAACGTTAAAACAAGCCGATTAATAAATGATAAGAAACATAAAAATGATCAATTAATTTTCATTCCAAATATCGTAAACTACTATCAAATTCAATGATCTTCAAAACGACTTACGTTCGTGTTTTAGTGATAACTAGAAGTAACCTATATACCGCATGAACTAGATGTAAATAAAATCTGTCACCACTTTTTTACCCATGGAATCAATTGAAAATGATTGCAAATTTTGTCATTCTAAAATATAATGCTTGTCACGAAGTGAAATTAAAGGTAACATTATTAGGAACCATTATTGTATTAATGAATTGCCATTTTTCTGCAAATGATAATACTAGTCTAATTTGTATATAAGACTTTTTAGATTTAAAAAACACCATCAACTTTATTTGGTTTACAGTAAGAATAAAAGCTACTGTTCATCTAAAATTTATCCTATATTCTGTTTGATAAAAGTATTCTTATGGGAAAACTATCTAGTATTGGCTTCCATGTTCTGAAAATAAAGGATTCAGAGAAGAAATACTTTCGAACACATCGCATTCTCAATCCTTCATAATAGTAAAAGTATGTGTTAAATTGAGTCATTAAAAAAATTTGTTTGTTATTTGGACATTTGTAATGACAACTAAACTCCAGCCATCATGACCTTCCACCAGAAGCTAAAGATGTAAACCAGGGAATTACACCTCAGTGACCCACAAGTCAATCTCTTCCATAAGGTCTACTTCTTCTAGATTTGCTCCCTAACGAAGTAGTAGATAGTAGCTGCTAAGAAGTGTCACATTAGGTCAAAACTGATGTCTACCACTACCTAGTTTTTAATGGTACCGTAATTGATATTATACCCTAACGGAAACAAACTACAAATTAGTCTAATTTGTGTAAAAACTTCCAACTAAAAATCTAATTTTTTTAGATCTGTGGTTAGAAACTGATTATATTGCTTCAGGTAAGTGGTTATAGAAGATAGAATCCGCAAAATAATAACTATTTATTCACATTATAGAAAGCCGATTAGAAATACTGTCATCAACGGAAATTTTGAAGTGAAGAACATATAATATGAGTGACGATTAAAAGTTACAAGTACAATATATTTGCTAACAGTAAGACAAAATAAAACATTAACAGAAAAATATAATAGAACTAAGCAGTTGCTAAAGAGAGAGACTTATCAAACTGCTTCTGTACAAATAACTCTAACTCTTTATTGTAAACGTTTGAAGATTTTGCAATGTAAGGTAAGCAGAAACTTAAAGTTCTTGTGTATCAATATTTTATGAGACTATAAATATTGACATTAAATGTTTCATAACGTGCTTACTAGTTACATACAGGATGTATGTTTCATCCCACCTGAGCACCTTCATCTGGGTACTACTGAATCCTAATTTTAATGTTGATAGTGGGACTGAAAACCTATTTCTTTTGCTCTAAATGCTAACGTGTAATCTGCTAAGCTACTGAGCTGAGATAAATATCAACTTATCCAACGAGGATGAAGGCATTAGAAAGATAATGTGTAACGTAGCACTATGTTAAGGCGGTCTACTCATGACGTACATATGAAAATAAAAGAAATCATCAAATGTACTCCGGAATATCAACAATAGAGAATTATGCCCTCATACTAAAAGCTTATTGTAATTTCACTAAGTCTTGTCACCACTTATACCATATTAATAATAAGTTGTGATTAATTGGGGACCAACCATCAAGGTTGACAAAATGACAAACGTAATGTTCATTGCTATTGTTATTTTACAATATGTTAGAAGGAACTGTCAAAGGTTCAAGAGAATAGTGAAGGATAAAATAATTGCTTGTTAGTTTTCATTAATCTGACGCTAGCAAAGCTTTTATACAACACCACTTTGAAGATAAATAGTCATATACGGAGTAACAAAATTTTTATATCAAAGATATTAAAACAAAAACTGCTTACGATCTTCGTCTACCACTGCTGCATCTTTCTCATCAATACTCCAACTGTTTGCATTCTGTGCACCGAATCCTTCCTCATATTCTTCCAATAAAAATCGTAACAGAGCAGGTGGGATGTAAGAATAAGCTTCTCGCATTTCATTCCAAGTCATCTGAAGTAAGAGAAATAGATTAGACTAATTTTTCCGAATATTCAAATAAAGGGTTTATTTTCAGTAGACGAAAATTCAAACTTACATAGCCAAATAAGAGCTGATGATGGTATTTCTAACTATCACGATTATCTCAAATAAAAGATTATCACTTCAGTCGAAACTTCCTTTGTATGGTAATCCAAAATTACGACATAGTCATATAACCATCTTAAGTTCTTCAAGAATCAATCAGAAGTAGTTTTATGTGAAATTAAATGAATGAATAATTTTGGATTTTAATTTAGTGGTCTTGTTCGAGGTTTTTCAGCATTTTATTTGAAAACCTTAACATTATTTAGTGGTGCTTAAAGTAGACAGAGCCACAAAATATATTAACTCTCGCTAGAGAACCGTTATGTTTTATGAATCCACTGAACAGGATATGAAATCGATTTCTACTGGCAAAGATTATCGGTTTTCGACATTGAATACAGTTAAATGTTAAAATGTTAAGCAATCAATAATCAGTAGATATAGAAAAAAATTGCAATCCGATTTCTCCGAAAACAAGCTTAGTGTCTGGAAGCTGTCTCTTAGTCACTAACGCTCAGTTAGAGGGCAATCGAGCAAAAGACCAAATATCTCCTCGTAAATAAATAATCACAACACTAGAACTATTAAGTTTAGCAAAATTCCTCTTTTTAATGCGAATTACTCTCAAACAATTATTTAGAGTTCGATTACAATGGCTTGTAATTGCTTTTTCGAAAAAAAATTCCTATTCATTAATTCATCGCGATCTAATATTGATTAAGAAATCATTTAAATGAAGAAGCTATAGAAAGCTGTGTCGAATTAGATTTTTTGTAGTAAGTCCTAGTTTAGTTTTATCTATGATATTTAGGGATTATTCAACAGAACTTTATTTTGAAGTGTATGAATACTGACATGTATATTGATATTCTTCAGCTGTTGTCAATTTGCAATCCAGCTCAAATACATTCCCAATCGGCTGAAATTTTAAAGTCAATAATACATTAATGAAATGAAAATATGATAGTAGTACACATAAAACCGCTGTCACGCGCTACTCAGCTAAAAACTTGCAATTTGTTATTTGTTTATCTAAATATCGTTTAAACTAGGATTCGCAAAATACCAACTGATTCCAGGTTACTATTTTATAATAAATAATCTTTTCATAAGTTGATTGCATTGTAAACAACTAACCATAATGCCATAACATTATTTCATTTTCTAATTAGTAGGAGGGTATAAATCGAATTAAAGAAACATATTTTGCAGATTGTAGACGCCAATACGTTGACAACTATCACAAGACAACAAATATCTGACAGAGAATAAAACGAAGTCTTGATTCCAGATAAAAAATTCATTCCTTGTCGCAACCATAACAACAAATTAATAAAGAAGTTTCACTTACACTTAATTCATATGAGTCAGTATCTAAACTATTCTCTGTTGATATTAAAAAAAGATTACACAATAAATCATATATATGAATAGACTATTTTTAGTAAACATTTTTCATGCCAAATTAACATATCAGTTCAATATTAGCGCGATCGATCAATAGTGTATTCATTCCAATAAAACATCTATTGATCAATGAGAAAAAGACATTTTCTTGAAGTTTCGCACCTATTTTCATATATATATAAACAATAATACACACATACATGCATTCATTTACCATAAATATTAACTTAACGTTAAGGTCATGGGTCAAATGAATGAACACACAGGCAAGCCAGAGTGAATTATTCCACTTTATATACAACATGTTCTTGTACACAGTTTAGTTAAAAAATTCTTTTCAGTGTTAATTATTCATTGAGAAAATGAAACAACTACACTGAAATTATTCACAAACAAGTGTATTTAGTATTATTAAAGATTGATTACTTTACGGAACTAAATACCTACAAATAACAGGAAGTAGTATGATCCACACCATCATAGTAACTTCGCTCCACTCACTAATTTTAGTTGCTAAAACAGTGTTTGCTCACTAGCACAGAGTAAACAATGTGAAAATAATTTTCTATGGTATGTACAAAAGATTATTATCTATGTTTAAATCTACCGTACCAACCCCTTCATACTCAATGATTAAGTTATGTTGATTTATCTATCAAGAGAGTGTTTTACCAATCTGGAATGAAGCTCCGCAACAAGGTATTCAAACTTAAGGATAAAAATTTACTTCATACAACAAGTTAGATTACTGGTGTGACTTTACAGAATAAAGTGTTGAAAAATGTGAGATCGACTCTGGACAAGCTGCTCAGATTATCTAGATCTTAATATGCAAACAGAAGAACGAAATAAGTTGATCTCAAGAACTTCATTTAGTCAGTAATATATAATGTAAAACTTGCTGTCGATATTCTTGACTCTATTAAAGGTATCATGAAAATCAAAATGTGTTACTTAATTATTTTATTTTTCAAAAGAGTATACAAGGGAATTTTCAGACTGGCTTGGAATATGATTGCCGTTTTATACTCTTGAACTTTTCAAAGTAAAGCTGCACCTACCAACTAACTCAAGCACACTATCAACAGAAAGATAAATTAAACTCATCTGATGAAATTGTTTAAAACGTTAATCACATAATAAATACCGTGCTAAAGAATGCTCAATCATTTGAAATGCTATCCATGAAATGTGAGACGAAATGCTTCCTAAAATATACAAAAACCAACAGATCTTCTTTCTGTACCTCCAACTGTATTTATGGACGTAAATGTACATGCAAAATCGTATAAATTAGGAGAATAACGAGAAATATCCGTTGACGCATCTCGAATCGAGTATTAAAGAACTAGAAAACCAAAGGTGCCACAATCTTAAACAGTGAAGTAGCTCAACAATTAGTCAACAAAAAATGTATGTTTTGTTGCTTTTTTCGATCACTCAAAATAATGAACTGCGAAAAGAATGCTAATTCAATAAGCTGTTCGGAAACTGTATCAACCTAAAATGTCGAATCATATTCTGCATTTAAAAATAGATACCTATAAATTTAACATCGGCATGATAAGCTGATATATTCTAATGACATTCACTCCAGTTTCTATTGCTGTTATCCGTAGCAACATTTTCTGTATTTTTATTCAATCTTCGCTTAGGTAAACTGAAATTACGTCCATTTTGCAATTATACTCTCATTTATTAGGTACATAAGATTCTCAATAGTTTCATAATCTATAAACAACCTGTTTTGTCAATTTTCAGGTTTTAAATGTTGAATGCCTAAACTGTTTTGTATTTTTAATGCTTATCTCCAAATGACCGTACATATGAACACTTTGCTGACGAAAACCGATGATATAAAATGAAATCATAACTTTCTGCCTCACATTTTGTTCTTACTTCAGTCAATTTCACAAACATTAGACTCATTCTATTAATTCTTTTAACAAAACTACAAACCGTATAGTTTTTGTCACATGAAAGACTAAGTTAAAACTAATTAAATACTCTTGGTAATTTTTATTTGTATATGAAATTTACTGAGTAATTTCTAAGAGTAAAATGTTACTTCGACTAAAATTTCATGTTTCATGTCTCAAAAAATAATCTACTAACATATCAAGTTATATATATATATATATATATATATATATATATATATATATATATATATATATATATATATAAGACACACATTGAGGAAAGCACCCAACTGCGTCACAAGACAAACTTTCACTTGGAATCCTCAAGGCCAAAGGAAAATAAGAAGACTAAAGAACACATTACGCGGAGAAATGGAGATAGACATGGGAAGAATGAACAACAATTAGATAGAACTAGAAAGAAAGGCCCAGGACAGTGTGGGTTGGAGAACGCTGGTCGGCGGCGTATGTTCCATTGAGAGTAACAGGCGTAAGTTATATATATATATATATATATATATATATATATATATATATATATATATATATATATATATATATATATATATATATATATACGTCATACATGTAATTTAAATGAATGAAAAAAAAAGATATTTTCTAATTTCAGACAATCTAAGACAAGCTATACAACACTTAAAACTATCTATCACTTCACTGAATGATAGTTCAGTACTTAAGTCCAGGTATTATTTATGGTTGTTGTTTTCACTTTCAGAATATAAGAATATCAGATAGTGTTTAAATTAATCAATAAATCGTACACTGTTTCATGTTCTTCAGTTCATGTTAATATACTATGCTTAAATCATAGGAACACAATAAAATATGAAACACTTAAAAATATAGTTTAATTCAAAATATACAGTTTTATTGACAAACAGATAAGTGTTTAGAGAATACTTAGAAACATTTTAAAAGTTATAAATGTTTCTAATTGAAGCTAAGCAAACGTAATTAAGAATAAAATATAGATTATCTAGTCAGATAACTAATGAAGATTATATTAGAATTGAAATAATAACTCACTTATTGGAATTCAGTTTACTAATTAGTTAGATAGTGTTTAGAATCAATATGTGCATTAATGATTACAACTTTCTACATTTAAATAAAGCACTCTGAAGTAACTATAAGTTGTAGTATTTATTTTGAAATAATACAAGAGTTAACTGTTGAAAATATTTGTTTCTTTTTGATTTGAAATTTAGTAAAATCCCCCAAATGTTAAAGAGTGTTTGTTTTCCTATCATGAGAAGCCCTATAACAAACAATTTTATGTAAACCAAATAGTCTAATGTGAGTGAGACTTTGTTCATAAGTTATTCATAACTTCTCATCATTAGTTTTACCCCTTCCCATTCAGAGATGTTCACTTAAGATTTTTCAATGTAAGACTTCCACCTAATATCATAAACACTAGAAGCATTATCTTCAAAACGCTTACTTCTTGAAGATGAAGTTGTCAAAACTTGTATCTAACACTGAATTTACAAAAAAATGCTTCAGCATCATTAGGTTCTATATATAAACAAGACAACAATTAAAATGAACGTTTTGATTGGTTCTTGGATTAGGTAAAACTGTTTAAACTTAAACTTTGTACTGGTTGTACACAGGTGTACAATGTAAAAAATACTTTAGACGTGAATCCAAGGCGACTCTAGACGAATGATTCGGAAAAATCCACAAAAGTAAAAATCTTATTTTAAAAAAAGTACCAATTAAAGTAAACTAAAATATTACACCCATATATATTAAATATTTGTCTAAATTGAAACAAGTTTTGATCGTAAATGCACATTACTTCAGTTCGATCAATTTACAAAGTTATCATATAATAGTTGGGAAGGAGGAGGTAAACAACTGGCCAACCACCTAGCTTTTGACATTATTAATATTTAATCTTTTCATCAAGAATTTTATCAGTCTTCTTCAAAAATCATTTAAAAGCACTGAAATTTTGTTTACTTAAATGTACATATTTATTTATACCAATTACTTGTGTGTACAATGTTATTCACATTTGCTATGACTATAAAATTAGACCTAACGAAGGGGCAATGTCAAATGTAAGATAACGTAAGTAATTACATAAGCAATGTATCTATTACATTATACTGATTTTATCAGTTTTCACCATATAAATTTTAATTATCAATTAGGCTAAAATTACAAGGACAGATATTTTAAGCTAAACTTTTTTCGGGTAAATTATTTTACCTACATATTTCAGTTATGCAATTAACAAAACATCAGGACGTTAAATTGTTTACACCACTTTGTACTATCCTTCAGAGGTATTATTGGGTAACTTAAAATTAAGAATTAGCGTCACTTTAAAGTCTCGAATAACAAAACCCAATTCATATTCATTAAAAAAAGGAGAAATCTAAACAATTAAGCCGTCACCTGGGCAACATCAGTTAGGCATTTACTGGTAAACAGTTGTATGGTAATAGTTTTCTGTTGTGTTATTGACAATAAAGTAGTTACAGTAGAAAAACCAGCAACCTAATCCAAAAATACTAAACATATACTTCAAAAGTGGTTTTTTCTTGTATATTTTCATGTCACTATTTCATTAGGAGTGACAGTCTAATTTCATCACAGTTATATACTCTACTATCAAGGATGAAAATTTGTGTAAAACTTCATGGACAAACATAAGTTGAATATCCATGAAGGGAAAAAAGTCACCAGAAGTTCTCTTTGTTCTACTTTAAAATTTCCCTTTAGTACAAACCACGATTCAACACGAGAACTTCAGAACTTTCAGATTTAACTATGAGCAAAGTATCATTAGATTGGTACATTGAAATCCAAAGGCTTACATTTCTGATTTCATTTCCTTCGAAAAAAGTTCATTATTCATTCCATGTAATGAGTGATAACTGTTTAATTATTGTCAGTAGGTAAAATCACTGAGACTGTTTTGATAGAACGTCGAGAAATCATTTTAACGCTGATAACCAGTGATTACAGCTACTTATTACTTCATGACTCTCAGTGACTCCCGGGTTAATTTCAATTCATAATAACAAACATTTTCAAATCAACCTTATTTTCACTGATCACCTTACTACACAATTCATGGGTTTTGAAATGCTTTGAAAAGTACTGACCATTTTATGACGCGTTAACAGCTTATTATGCTACTCAAATGCACACGTCCTTCAAATTTAAAACAGTGAACTAGCCAAAACTCTAGTTCAGATATTTTTTTACTTCAGAATGTGCGAACGAATCATTGTTACTAGCAAACAGTAAGTACTGTAAATTTTTAGAAAATTCTCTAGATACAAAATTTTTGTTCATTTTAATTTGTTGAAAGGGTAACAAATGGATTGAAATAGTTTAAGTACAACAAAATAAAGACAAACAAACGTTAAAAAGCTGAAAAATTATAGTATTTCATTTTCTACAGTGGATAAACACAGATACATATTCAGTTTCCACTATTTTCCATTACTTCTTTGACAAGTGTTTATTCGTCCAAAAACGACTGCGAATTTTTAAAAATAACTGAATAGCTTGTCCAAACATTTAATTAACATCTATTAAGTCCTTGACGTTGTTAATGAGGGATAGGTGTTATATTGTTGGCTCATCATTTTGCTAAAGAACTATAGCATATCTTCCTAAAAATGATATCAGGTAACTGTTCTTGTTCGTTTCTCAAACATTCTAAAATTATCAGAGTCACCAAAAATAATAATAATACTGTTTAAATAAATGCGTAAACTAACCTTTAGAAGTTGTTTTCTAGGTGTAGCTAATAAATTTGCAACTTGAATTAATATATTCAACGGACGTTTATGTTTATCCAGTCTACGAATTCTTAGCCAACTATCTAACCAATTAATTCCATTGAGTAAGTGTGTACCAGTTTCATGATCAATTTTAACAGTACCTTAAAATAGATTAGAAAAATTTAATAATGCGATAGCAAGTGTTATGATCTTGTTGATGGAAATTTAGGGTGATCAATATATAATTTAAAATGTTTATTGAATATGATCTATACAAGCACGTCTTAACCACTCACTCCAAATCTAATTGCTAACCTTTTGGTCGCGCTATGTCATATATTGGTCAAACTAGATAATGCGGAACACTTGGTTCTAGCTCAGCTGTGCAGTGATTAGGCTTTGTTTGCGACACTTGAAGGCCCTTGGTTCAAAACTCTGCAGTGATGCGATTACACACTGTCAATAAATCACAAACTACAATGAAACAACTGTCTCATCTTCCTTAATATTCAATAATACCTCCTCACGAAGTCAAATAGATCTAAAGTTTGCCAAATTTCTCTATCAAAAACTATTTACAGCGTTACTCATAATGGAATAAACAATCCTGTATTTATTCGTCAAGGTTCGATTTGCTGACATCTATCTTAATATGATGATATCATCCAAAAACAAATAATTACTGAAAATTATCTTATTCAGACTTAATCATTTTTTTTCGACAAACAAACCTCTTCATTTTTACCAACCGGATTAGAGGAGAAAGAAAGTATAAAATTGAGCAATATAAGTACAACTATTTCATTTAAAAAGCAAGAGCAGTTTCTTTAACATTCATAAGTCAGGATCTAATATACAAGTAGCTAAAAAGCTGTTAAACTGGTTATCTTTTCTAGAACTGAAGAAATTAACGTGAGAAATTATTTGATTTACACAAAAGCACTTGATAAATACAGATTAATACAAAGTGCAAAATGACATACTCCCATATAATTAAGTATAGTAACAGTAAATTTCTAAACCGATAAATGCAAAAAATAATATGATAATTTAAATAAATTGACAATGTCTTGTGGTGTTCTTCAAGACAGACGACTGGATTTTTTAAATAAGAAAGATTAGTTCAGCGAAGAGTTCTCTTTTCGACGAATTCATTTTCAAAGCTGTACAATCGCGAATATATATACTTATTTTTACAGGATGATAATGATAACACTTATTATACATGGTGACAGTGAGATTAAATAAACAAAGGTATTAAAATATTTTAAAAAATTTTAAAACAAGGAAAGTTTAGTAATCGTTTGATTGTTGTTGGCTTAAGTATTCATCAAAAGATAGATAGGGAAGTTATCATTGGGAAAGGATGGCTCAGCATGATAAAATAAAATGTTGAAACAGAGATGAAATGTAATCGGAATGATCGTGGAAATAGGAACAAACACAGTTGGGGGTAGAAGATTCAAAGGGAAGACGGAAGGTGAAGCAGATGGCTGTAAAGGAACAAGAGTATGAAAAAGAGAGAAAAATTTTAATACATTAAGACCATGGTAGAAGAAGAGGTTGTACCAGTCTCTTTTGCACACACAATTCTGATTTTTCCAGATGTATAGCTATTGCTTCGGCAATGCAGAGAAAATACAGTCTAATTGTTTTAGGAAGACTTCTACTTAGATTTATGATAAACAAGACATTAAAAAATATACTGAATGTATAATTTATTCGAATGAAAAGAAAATTTATTAAATCATTACGCGTATTAAGTTATTATTAATTAAATAATACTGAATTATTTAATTAACAATAAACTAAGCTTAACTTTATTATAAATTTAGTCGATTGTAATAAGGAACTATAATCAGGTCAACTAGTAATTCTACATGAAGCTACATTTTTTGACTTATAATATTATCCAATTTATATTGGTATGATAGAATAGAATATTTTGAAAATTCCCCTACACTTGTATCATATTCAATATGTGAATCTATTCTATATTTAAATAATAAACACTGTTATATCAATTTTAACACAAATATTGGATAGATAAGTTATGTTCGTTAGATATTAATCAATAAATGAAGTAAATGATTATCAATAATATTATTTAATTAATATAATCCAATAACCAGGTTCTTCGAAGAAAGAAAGAGAGAGAGGGAAACATTATATCACTAATTCAAACACTGAAAAAGAGTTGATCTTTACATTGTAAGGAAATTGTTAATGTGAATAAAATTTTCTTGTATTTTATAATCTCAATGTGAGGCCAGAAATATTTCATTGTTTCTTTAAAAGAACAAACAAATATTTTGATAAACACTTCAATGTTGTTTTACTGAATTCTATAGTGTTTTCTTTTATTGCTAATTAATTAATCGAACACTAAGTTGCCTACTGTTCATTTTAGTTCACTTCATAATTTCATCCACTCATCAAGAGTAAATTAATTCATTAGGATTTAAGTTAATCTTTGTAAATATCACAAAAGAATATAAATTTAAATCATTTAATTGAAAGTATTTTGGTGAACAGTTTTTCTTTATACGGTTTTCTCTTCTCAATTTGCATTGAAATGAGTTTTTTTTTAGCAAAGTATAATAATATAGTATCTATTTACGGCCAAATACATACTTATATATACATATATTGTTTCGGTAAAATTTACACCTAAAACAACCCCGCGTGTAGCTCTTCTACAGTTACTGCCGATCCCAAGCCCGGGTAAAGGAGGAGGGTTGGGCATGGAGTTAAAGACCCCATCTCGTAGAAAACTAATTCGCTAATAAAACGTTAACCAGAAAAAAATAATTCAAACCATTTAAGCTCTGTCCTGGGAGTTAGAAGGTCTTCATTTAAAAGAAATATGACGCCTCATGGTGAAATCCAAGTTCCTTCGAAAGCCATGAGACCGATGCCCCTTCTAACAACCACAGCAACAATTTTTAAAGGTACATGAAACGTCCGGACAATGTGGGAGACCGGGAAGACCAGCCAAATAGCAACGGAAATCAAGAGATACAAATTGGCAGTACTGGGAATCAGCGAAACCCATAGGACCCAAGCTGGACAACAAAGACTAATTATGGGAGAGATACTACTATACTCCAATCACGAAAGGGAAAATGCTCCACACACACTCGGGAGTTGCTCTAATGCTGTCCAAACTATCATGAAAAGCACTTGTACGACTAAAATTTCACGGACCCAGAATCATCAAAGCATCATTCAAAACAAAGAAGGAGGGAATTACAGTGAATGTTATCCAGTGTTATGCACCCACAATTGATAGCAACCACGACATTAAAGATCGATTCTATGGGAGGCTGTAACCAATCAAAGTGAAGTGCTCAAGAAACGACCTCACCATTCTGATGGGAGATCTACATGCCAAAGTCGGAATAGACAACACTGGATATGAAAATATCATGGGACGACATGGACTGGGAGAGAGAAACGAAAATGGGGAAAGATTTGCAAATCTATGTGCATTCAACAAATTGGTTACAGGCGGCACAATATCTCCACACAAACTTATAAACAAAGCTACATGAATCTTACCGGACCACACCACAGAAAACCAAATAGATCATATATGCATCAATAAAACGTCCAGAAGGACAATGGAAGATGTGAGAACCAGAAGAGGAGCTGGCACGGCTTCAGATCACTAACCAGTTGTGGCCAAGATGAATCTGAAGCTAAAGAAGAACTGGACAACTGGGGGAACAGCATTACAAAGGTTCAATACATCCTTCCTTCGAAATACTAACAAACTCAACCAATTCAAAATAACTCTCAACAACAGGTTCAAACCTTACAGAACCTACTGAAGGAAGAAGAAACTATTATGGAGGACAACTGGAAAGGTATCAATGAAGCATTAACTTCAACGTGTCAGGATGTTCTGGGTCACATGAAGCATCATCGTAGAGAATGGATCTCCACAGAAACACTGAACAAGATCAAAGAAAGGAAGAACAAGAAGGAAGCAATTAACAACAGCCGAACACGAGCAGAGACAGTCCAAGCACAAGCTGAATACACAGAAGCAAACAAGCAAGTGAAGAGGAGCATTAGAGCCGACAAATATGTGGAAGAACTAGCAACGATGGCGGAAAAAGCTGCAAGAGAAGGAAATATGAAACAACTTTACGATACAACGAAGAAACTATCAGGGAAATACAGTAAACCAGAGAGACCGGTCAAAAGCAAAGAAGGCAGGCCAATCACAGAAATTCAACAACAGTGTAACAGATGGTAGAATACTTCGAGGAACTCCTGAATACGCCGGCTCCAGTGAATCCACTAGACATCAACGCAGTACACACAGATCTTCCTATAGATGTCAATCCACCAACGACGAAAGAAATCAGAATGGCCATCAGACAAATCAAGAGCGGGAAATCAGAAGGACTCGACAACATACCAGCTGAAGCACTGAAGTCAGACATCGAAGTAACTGCAACCATGCTTCACCTTCTACTCAAGAAGATTTGGGAGGAGAAACAAGTGCCGAAGGACTGGAAAGAAGAACACCTCATCAAGATTCCAAAGAAAGGAGATCTGAGCAAATGTGAAAACTACAGAGGCATTACACTACTGTCAGTATCAGGGAAAGTCTTTAACAGAGTTTTGCTGAACCAGATGAAAGATGCAGTAGACGCCCAACTTCGAGATCAACAGGCTAGATTCCGTAAGGATCGGTCGTGCACAGACCAAATTGCGACACTACGGATCATCCTCGAACAATCAGTTGAGTGGAACTCGTCACTGTACATCAACTTCATTGATTATGAAAAAGCATTTGACAGTGTTGATGGGAGAATATTATGGAAACTTCTTCAACACTACGGAGTTCCTGAGAAGATTGTCAGCATTATCTGGAACTCATATGACGGACTACAGTGCAAAGTAGTGCATGGAGGACAGCTGACAGATGCATTGCAAATAAGGACCGGAGTCAGACAAGGCTGTCTACTCTTATCCTTCCTTTCTTCTGGTGGTCGACTGGATTATGAAGACCTCGACATCTGAGGGAAAACACGGAATACAATGGACAGCTCAGAATCAATTAGACGATTTGGACTTCGCAGATGATCTAGCCCTCCTATCGCATACACACGAACAGATGCAGATGAAGACAGCCAGTGTAGCAGCAGTCTCTGCATCAGTAGGCCTCAGCATACACAAAGGGAAAACCAAGATCCTCAAATTCAAAACGAAGAACAGCAATCCAATCACTCTTGATGGCGAAACTCTGGAAGATGTAGAATCCTTCATATACCTGAGAAGCATCATCGATGAACAAGGAGGTTCAGATGCAGACGTAAAGGCGAGGATCGGCAAAGCAAGGGTCGCATTCCTAAAATTGAAGAACACATGGAACTAAAAACAACTTTCAACCAATATCAAAGTGAGAATCTTCAATACGAACGTCAAGGCAGTTCTACTGTACAGAGCTGAAACTTGGAGAACTACAACAACCACCATCAAGAAAGTACAAGTATTTATAATCAGTTGTCTACACAAGATACTCAACATCCATTGGCCGGATACCATCAGCAACAGCCTTCTCTGGGAGAGAACAAACCAGCTTCCAGCTGAAGAGAAAATTAAGAAAAGACAATGGAAATGGATAGGACATATATTACGCAAATCATCAAACTGCATCACGAGGCAAGCCATGACTTGGAATCCTGAAGAGAAGCGGAAACGAGGAAAGCCAAAGAACACATTACGTAGGGAAATAGAAGCAGACACGAAAAGGATGAATAACACCTGGAAGAGCTGGAAAGGATTGTCCAGGACAGGGTTGGATGGCGAATGCTGGTGAGAGGCCTATGCTCGTTCACGAGGAGTAACAGGCGCAAGTAAGTAAGTTAATCCTAAAACGTATTCATATACCAACTGACAAAAAAAAGAAAGCTTACTGAAAATTATTTTCAGGATGGAGATTTGTGGATTGTAGTATTCTCATAGTTGAATTCATGAGTCAATCGAAGCTAAGCCTTCGCGCGCGTGACCGAAGGTCCCTGGTCTGAGTCTCGTGTGCGGGATTTTATATGCGCACTGCTGAAGAGTCCTATACTGGGACAGAACGACCATCCAGTACTTTAGCGCTTTCAGTGATGGTCTAGCTTGAATCAACTCATGAATTCGACTGTGAAAATTATTTGACTAACTGATATGATGCAAAGATATTCCCAAGAATATTAACTTTTTAGATTCTGGTTCAAGTAAATTTTACTGTTTTGCAGTGACCTACCGTTATACATATTGTTTAAAATAGACGAAAACAGCTGAGAACACTGATAGATGTATGCGATAGAATAAAGTAATATTGAAGGCGTTACCATGCAAAATGCAGTCACAATGGCACAGTAGCATTCATTATCTACATTTTTTTTATTCATTAGTCAAATGTCATTCCAAATATCCCATACTTTTATCGTAATGTATTTCACCTGTTTAGGTTTTCACTACATTTAAAATTATTTCCTTTCTTCTGCTTCTCAGATTGTTCATTCCCTTTGGCCAAAATAACGCAACATGTGATGAATTAGACTGATACACAATGGTGTCAGTTTCCACAGGGATTATTACTGACTAACTAATGATTAACATTTTGGAAGGTTTAATTAGGGTCAAAAAACAAATTCATGTCTACTTCTCGACCACACAAATTGCACAAATGTTTACAGATCAAAATGCAGTTTTTGCGATTACGAAATCACAAATTGGCTGCGTTTTTTTTGGTTTTCATGAATACACTACAAACAGTTTTTGTTCCTCCATAATTTTTTGAATGCTTATTTCTTTATTAGACTTAAAGTATAATGATTAAAAACCTAACATGAATATTTGATGCTCATAAGTGAATAAATGTAGCATAGACTGGTTTCACGTAAAAATCAATTCTGAACTTGTTTTATCGATAGTACTCAATGAAATGTACGTGTAGGATGAATTATGTAGCGATTTTCTTCATTTGTAAAAATAAAATAGATAATCAATTGTCATGACTTATATATATACCACAACGTGAGGGTAATTATGAATATCAGTTCTAATTCGATATTGCAGAGAAAACTATGAAAATCTCACGTTTTTTCGCACAACACATTTAGTACTGAGATCAATACTTAGACGATACTTTAATCAACGTAATCATGTGAAAAGTAAAGAATAAAACTGTTGATGTATACATATAAATTTCCAGGCATTGGTAACATATCTCTTGAAAAGTTTCATAATTTATTTAGAGAACTATGAAATAACTCTACAGTAGGTTCGTGAGGTTTACTGTAAAATACTGCAGATCAAAGCAAACACATGCTGTATAATTTAAACATTTTTCAAGTACTGATATAAAAAATGCACTTGTAGCAATGTAGAATGCAAAAATTTCTAACTAGAAGCTTCACTCTTCAAACAGATGAAGAATTGAGATTAGGCTTATACGCTACATTTTAGAAAATTTGTAGGCTTTTGAGTGGTATGTACTTAATTTCAAATATCTAAACCATATGTAGTTGATATATGTGTACCAATTATTTTCATTGCTGAACACAAAACATGGATTCGTTTGTCAGACATTCCGTCCAAATCGAATATCATATTCAAACTGCTTTCCATGGAATGTTCATCTAAGTGTTGGCATAATCTAGGCCTATGGATTAATGTTTCAGCAGTTCAAGCTTACAGATTAAAGGTTCAACCTTTTCTCTTCGTAATTTGATTCGTAAACATAAACAATATACTTGATCTTAGCATATCAAGTATGTCACAAATAACGGTTTGGGACCATGTAGTTGTGTTTTCTAATTCATTATATGGCTTACCGTTCAGTTAGCTTCCCACTATTTGGATGGGCTTTCAACAAACCATTTGAAATCCACAGAAACATATAACTCACATGGAAACGCTATCTGGATTAAAACAACAAATATCACTATGAATTAGAGATTTGAAACTAAGATAACACTAGTTCCTTATAATTTTGAAAACTCAACGTTATGAAGTAGTTGAGAAATTTCTAAAATTTATTTATAATGCAGAATTAGTTTTTAAATTATTAATAATTCTAGGAAGAAACAGAGTAATACCTTAGCATACATGAATAAAAAGTTTTTGATTTAGTTTTAATTACTTTCAGTACAAAATCACCTAGAGCCCAAGTAGCCTTGACTTATAAATAACTGTATATTACATACTAATTTTGCGGTTTAAAGTTGTTTCCTCATTGCTAGTCTTAAGGATTATGAGCTTGATTCTGTACAGAATGCAGAGTTAAAAAGTAGTGAATTCGAAGAAAATATTTCTCCAATGTTTACCAACATTTTAATCGATTCAATTTTGTTAAAAGTTAGTGATATTGATTAACCCCAATATTTTACTATTCTTGTTTTCATAACCAAACGGCAAATGACCATTAAAAATATGAATCTTTAAGAGGATTAAGATTTTATAATCTTATAAAATGTCTGAAAAAAAATTAAAGAAACTACCTAAAAGTAGACGTGTTATCATGTTTTTTATAAAACAATCACGTAAAAATCAAAATGATAGAAAGCATTACATTTTTAATAAGTTGGAGGCCATTCTAGCTAATAATCTTAACGTGAGAAATAAGCGATATAAATAGTAATATGTTCATACAATTTTTAGTAGTTATCTATCAATTGCCAAACTACTTTCAAGGTCCTATGAACAACTTGCACGATACATTTGAATGTAAAAAAATCTCACAACATTTTATCAATGTACAAATATTTTCAAAAATACAAAAAATGAATATTTACCAATTTACCTGTAAAAAGTATAGTATTCAGTATTTCATAAGAAATATTAGCTAATAATCGACGCCAAAATATAGCCTCTATACGATTCATTGTTGAATTCATTGAATGATGTGAAAAACTATGGTCTGTAGATTGCATTGAATTATTTTTTGAACAATCTGTCGAGAATACTTCATCATCTGGGACATTGAGGTTTTTCATTTGTACTGGTTTATTATACCCTGAATAATATTCATTATCCATATCTGAGTCACCACCTGATATACTCAAATCACTAGTTTCTGAATATTTTTGTAAATTAGATACTAATTGATTCGATTGTTGATACGTTCGACGATATTGCTGTTGATTGTTTACTCTGTTATTGAACAATATACCATTTTGGCTTTTATTACTTACAAATGAATGTGCTGAGTCAGAATTGGTAGACAAATTTTCATTGTCATTTAATACAGACATTGGTGTACCACCAGATGGATAGAAAGCTGCATCAAAACATGAAGCCAGTCGATCTAACCATTTGGATAATTCAGACCGACTACATGTCCATTCAGTTGGTGACGTAAAATAAATTCTGTCAGGTTGTGAACGAAGTGGGGAATCATGTGGAGAGGATTGATACAACGCAGAAATGTACGGTGAAATAGACTGAAAAAAAAGTAAAATAAGAAATTCCAAGATTATGTTAGAAGATGAATGAAAGCTAGGGAAACAATATAGAAACAATTCGGATTACTAATCTATCTAGACATATTAGTTCAGAACATATACAAATTTGTTCTATATTGTGACAAATGAAACTAACGAAAATTTAAGTATTCAAAGACAATAAAATTACTTTGGTTGCCCGTAAATAAACACAATTTTCTGATATGATTCTATTAATCTAAATAATCTCAATTACGTTTTTAAGAACTGTTAGTTAAAACCAAAAATAACGAAGAATGATAGTAACTACTGATGATGGTGTTTCGAAGATACTACAATAAAACAATGAGACATGATAACTGTGAATTTTACCAGAACAAAACATTTAATCAACTGTTGTACACTTTTCGATAGGTTTTCTTAGTAGTATAAAATTGGGAAGGAAGATTGTCTACAGATACTTTTAGAAATAAAAGAAATATATAGAATTAGAAGTCGGTACTATCGATAGTGTTATAGAAAATTTTTATTGTATAGCTCTATTTGGTTCCAAAAATCTAAGTTTATAAAACTACTTACACACAATATTTAATACTTACTTACTTACTTACTTACTTACTTACGCCTGTTACTCCTCGTGAAGGAGCATAGGCCACTCACCAGCATTCTCCATCCAACCCTGTCCTGGGCAATCCTTTCCAGCTCCGTCCAGTTGTAATTCATCCTTTTCATATCTGCTTCTATTATCCGACGCAATGTGTTCTTTGGCCTTCCTCTTTTTCGCTTCCCTTCAGGATTCCAAGTTAGGGCTTGCCTCGTGATGCAGTTTGACGATTTGCGTGATGTATGCCCTATCCATTTCCATCGTCTTTTCCTAATTTCTTCTTCAGCTGGAAGTTGGTTTGTTCTCTCCCACAGTAGGCTATTGCTGATGGTATCCGGCCAATGGATGTTGAGTATCTTGTGTAGACAACTGATTATAAATACTTGTACTTTCTTGATGGTGGTTGTTGCAGTTCTCCAAGTTTCAGCTCTGTACAGTAGAACTGCCTTGACGTTCGTATTGAAGATTCTCACTTTGATATTGGTTGAAAGTTGTTTTGAGTTCCATATGTTCTTCAATTGTAGGAATGCGACTCTTGCTTTGCTGATCCTCGCCTTTACGTCTGCATCTCAACCTCCTTGTTCATCGACGATGCTTCCTAGGTATGTGAAGGATTCTACATCTTCAGAGTTTCGCCATCAAGAGTGATTGGATTGCTGTTCTTCGTTTTGAATTTGAGGACCTTGGTTTTTCCTTTGTGTATGCTGAGGCCTACTGATGCAGAGACTGCTGCTACACTGGCTGTCTTCATCTGCATCTGTTCGTGTGTATGCGATAGGAGGGCTAGATCATCTGCGAAGTCCAAATCGTCTAATTGATTCTGAGCTGTCCATTGTATTCCGTGTTTACAATATTTAATAAACAATGAGAAAATATCTGTACCTAGGACTTTTGGGTATTATGAAATTAACGATCGCTCAAATATGATAATATTGTCCTAGACGCGAATTAATTTTTCATAATAAAAGTATTCAACTTAAAAGAAGCAATATTATCAAAAGTATTGCATATTCCCACTTTTTTTCTTTATCTATGATAATAAGACACTTGGATCCTAGTTATCGTTAATCTTCACCAAATCTTAGTTTATACATAGATAATTTCAAAGACAGTAATCATCGAAAATTATTTACGATTATAGATCTGATCAAGATAAATAGATTTGAATTTTATGTGAAACATTTTTTGTTTTGTTTAATATGCTATGATATTTGGATTTCAATAAACGAATACTAAGAATGAATCTCATTCAGAGTTGATCGAAATTTTTCAAGTAATACAAAACAATTAAAGTGATTTCATATGCATACGAAATTATTTGCCCAATACTCATCAATGGAAGAACATCATATGGTATGGTGTAAACATAGGATGATATATATAGTAGTTTTGTGTTCGTTTGGCGGTCGAACGAATCACGTCAAAAAATTATTTTCAATGATATTTTAAATTTATTCCATCAAGTTCATGATATTTATATTTTTCTACTTGATATGTTAGTCTGCGGTACATTATATGTTTCAAGTTAGTTTTTGTTGTATCGCATAGGTTATAGGCTGATAAAGATGAGCAGTTTGCAGTCCGAAAGTAACTTAATAAGTTTCGTAGATAGACTTCTATCAGTTAATCCCATTTAATCCATTAATGAAAATAACTGAAAGTTACTAATCTAAACGTATTTAGTTTAACCATAGCCAAGATTCATGGGCAAAATAGTAAAACCAGGCAAGTTTATTGAGAATAAAATTACACTAGATGATTGAATGTGTTATAGTTCTTCTATATATGGTCTATCAGTTCTAGATCCTCTTTACTTGTGGTGCACGTTACTTATGCTGACAGACATAAGTAACATGTAGCAGTAATCGAAAGTGAAACTCCTACCAGCAGAAGAATGGATTAAAAGGGACAGAAAGGGAAAGAGAACAAGTGCAATAAAAACAAAATTGAAAGAATCATGAAGCATACAAAGAACGATTGAAAGAAGATGTGCAAATAATGTATTTAGTGTACGGTTCTCATTATTTTAACAAGGCACTTTGTAATTTTGCAGTAAACATTACATTGATTTCCTACACCTGAATTTGCGTTCACTTCAAGTAACTTATATGCATACTTTTAAATATTGAAAGAGATATTATCTACTAACGTAATAATATAGAAAACCCTGTAACAGATTATATTACTGGCGTTCATTAGCGTATCATTAGAATGTGTACTTTAGTATCCATTACACTCTATAATCAACGGAACATTACTGGAAAACATTTCAAATATGGTAGAGTATATTACATTTCTTTACTTTCTTAATATATGATTAAAAATGTCCATGTTACTTCTTTGAAGACCAATTTCTTTCAATGTTGAAAAGCATCTTAACAGGTATTATCTTGAGATTAGTTTAAAATAAATTGTAAATTCATTCGTTCAATTTTCTTTATACAAAATCGTCTTGACTACGAGAATAACATTTTGTATAACTCAGATTATTGACATAATATATGCTAACAAAATGTATTAAATATTGCCTTTTTTTAAAATGAAATTCATCCGAATATCATCGGATCCATAAATTTAAAAAAGTGATTTGTCATATAACATAGAAACAAAAGGAGTAAAATAAGCAGTTTACATAAGAGGAAATCAACTCATATTTCAAATTGCATATTATATTATTTTAATTTCGAATTGTTACCATCAACTGAGTAAAATCACTTTAAACTGACTTATATGAGTCTGATTAGATAAGTCAACATTAAGACACTAATATAAGCTAATTAGTTAAAGGCGTACAAGATATAACTGATCATATCTATCGAATAATTCAGTTATACTACAAAATTTTGTGATCTGAGAATAATGTTTTAATGAAATATTGACAGACACTATAATGATAAACAAAAAAAACCAGGACAAAATGAGTTAAAGATCAAAGTTTACATTTCTCTTATCATAGATTATACTGTTCACAATGAATGAATGACAGTTCATCTAGTAAGTTATTTTTATTAAGTATTTTTTAGCTTTATTGTATTTAATGTTAATTCCATGTACTTGATTGTCAACATTTTTATTAATAAAATCTAAATTAACGTTTATCTGTTCTTAGTAGCAACAGAATTCAAAGAACTAAACTGTTAGCCGAATCGTTCCCATTGTTACTAGTATATTGTTATTAGTATATTGCCATCGTATTGACGTTTACCCATATTTACAGTAATTCTCATTCAGAGTGAGCACATAGTTACTTTATAGCATCATCCCTAAGTCAAACATTTTAACTGATCAAATATTAGAACAATCCTACCCACTACGTCTAGAATTCTATTCTTATTGTTTTGGCACGCATTTACTGTAAACTTCTTTTAAGTGAGCAGAAACATAATGAAACTGCAGAAAATGACAAAAAAACAGTGAGCATTTCAACCAGATAAGCACTGAAAGACATAGATTATTAAGTTTAATAGATACAACATTTTTTAGTATTCCAGTAACAGATTGAATTAAAATTTTATGTAATCCAAAGAAGCATTGAAATTTAACTGGAAATCTGTTAGCAGGGCAGTTTGCTATAAAGAGATTTCTGAGTTAATAAGTACCGAAAAAAATCATTGCACCCCTAAAAATATAAGGTCGTGCAACAGCTCACAGAGGATTGTTGTTTTAAGTGATAACTAAAAGGAACGTCTATTAATAACATACTGGTGAAATTACTTCTATTCATGTCTGATTTATCTTGAACTCATATATTCCTCAGAGATTCTTTGAAAAGCGTAGAGTGAAGAAGCGAGATAACTTTGTCTTACAATTTTGAAAAGATGCAAAATTTATTAAAATACCCTGATTGACAATGTGAGAAAAGTTTATAGGCCTAGCACCTACTTTGGTATTTGTCTACACTACGTGCTACACTTCAATCACTTAGTTCATTTAAGAAGCTGCATAACGCACTTCAGTCAGGTTACCAATGAGATTTTGACACAAATCCAAAAGATTTGCTGTACGTTTGATACTCGGTCCCACAAAGTACATTGCATAGTAGTCTGCTACGTATTATTGTATGGTATGTAGATATTGTCCTAAAGGATGAAGATTATGTGCGAATAGCATGTATCCTGTCATAGATGTCTTTGAACCATCGATTGTGATAAAACCACCACGTAAAGATGAAAAAAGCCTTAATACTCTTGGCAAAGAAATTGAGCATTTACATAAAATTGGGGCATCACGAATATTAAGGAAAGAGCTATGAGATATACACGTTAATTTTCTATCATGGCATACGAAACTGGTTGAACAAAGTGATGGGTTTTAAAAGTTACAGATAGCAGGACAGCATGACGTCATTTTAGAAAATCACTAGCTGTCGGCCTGCTTTTGATAAGGTATCAACTTT